CGCTCCAAGCAACAGCCTGGTGGACCAAACTCTCACAAGTCAAGCCTGGCCTCGGGCCGGGCTTGGGCAGTAGAAGAACTCCCAGAACCCCATCAACCAGGTATATGTGGGCCTGCGGGCCGCTCCAAGCAACAGCCTGGTGGACCAAACTCTCACAAGTCAAGCCTGGCCTCGGGCCGGGCTTGTGGAGTAGAAGAACTCCCAGAACCCCATCAAGCAGGTATATGTGGGCCTGCGGGCCGCTCCAAGCAACAGCCTGGTGGACCAAACTCTCACAAGTCAAGCCTGGCCTCGGGCCGGGCTTGGGGAGTAGAAGAACTCCCAGAACCCCATCAACCAGGTATCAACCAGGTATCAACCAGGTAATAATAATAATAATAAGCCAGGGGGGGGGGGACTAACAGGCCTCAGTAACAAGTGGAGGAGGGTCGCAGTAGTGTGGTTTATGGAGTGTGTAATGGAGTTCAACTCCACAAGAACTCTCACTCCACTCTCAAAAAACGGACTCCATGAGCCCCTCAATAAAACTTTAGAAAATAAATTTAAATATCCCGCAATAAAAAAAGTCACACCGGCCGGTGGGCCTTATAATTGTGTCCTCTTGTGTATTGTCTCCTTTTGTGTGTGTGTGTGTGTGTACTCACCTAGTTGCGCTTGCGGGGGTTGAGCTTCGGCTCTTTGGTCCCGCCTCTCAACCGTCAATCAACAGGTGTACAGATTCCTGAGCCTATTGAGCTCTATTGCATTCACTGGAAAGGCGAAGAGTTAGGGGTGACATGATAGAGGTTTACAAGTGGATGAATGGACATAACCGGGGGGATATTAATAGGGTATTAAAAGTATCAACACAGGACAGAACACGAAACAATGGATATAAATTGGATAAGTTTAGATTTAGGAAAGACTTGGGTAAATACTGGTTCAGTAACAGGGTTGTTGATTTGTGGAACCAATTGCCGCGTAACATTGTGGAGGTGGGGTCCCTCGATTGTTTCAAGCACGGGTTGGACAAGTATATGAGTGGGATTGGGTGGTTATAGAATAGGAGCTGCCTCGTATGGGCCAATAGGCCTTCTGCAGTTACCTTTGTTCTTATGTTCTTATGTTATCATATCAACTCTTGAAACTATGTATGGAGTCAGCCTCCACCACATCACTGCCTAAATTGTGTGTGTGTGTGTGTGTGTGTGTGTGTGTGTGTGTGTGTGTGTGTGTGTGTGTGTGTGTGTGTGTGTGTGTGTGTGTGTGTGTGTGTGTGTGTAATTACCTAAATGTAGCTACAGGATGAGAGCTACGCTCGTGGTGTCCCGTCTTCCCAGTACTCTTTGTCGTTTGCCTTCGAAAATACTGACGGTTTTGACCTCCACCAAAAAGTGTGTGTGCCTATTTGTATTTACCTAATTTTGCCCGCAGGATTGAACTCTTGGACCCCGCCTTTCTATTCGTCGGTTGTCTAATGTAGGGTTGCCTAGTTTTTATATCATATCTGCTACATTTCTCTCTCTCTCTCTCTCTCTCTCTCTCTCTCTCTCTCTCTCTCTCTCTCTCTCTCTCTCTCTCTCACACACACACACACACACACACATATTGGTTAGAAAGGCGGGGTTCAAGAGCTAATAGCTCGATTCTGCAGGCACAAATAGTAAATGCATAAATATAAGTAGCAGATATGACAGAGGAAAATAGGTCGGGAGTCAGTATATTAGACAACCCACAGTTAGAAAGGCGGGGCCCAAAAGCTAACATCTCAATCATGCAGGCATATTAAATAGTAAATCCACACACATCCCCAGGATGCAACCCACAACAGCTATCTAACTCCCAATTACCTATTTACTACTAGGTAAGAAGAGGCCTCAGGTGAAACTCTGGCTAATTGTTAGTCTGTACCGGGAATCGAACCCGGGTCCCTGGATTATGTGTACGTGTCAACTTAATGCATCAGTGTCACTAACATGTCTGAAACCAGTTAAGCAAAGTTAATGATATTCGACATAAAGCCTATTAAGAGCAAAATCCAAAATTGATTATATTATGGAGAACTTAGCCTCTTATCACCGCGTAATTTGAATAGTGAAATGGTGCACCAGTTTCAATAATAAAATAATAATAATAATACTGATAATAATGATAATAAAAATAATGTTATTATCATTATTAATAAATCGTGCTGGAGTAGGCAGACTGAAGGGAGACTGAGCTCCCCGAGGCGGGACGCAAGCCTAACCCGACACGATATTAATCATCTCTTCGATAAAATGATGATGACGTAATCGGCCAATCAGACGATACTGGCGATAATGAACGAGGCGTTGTTCATTTCCACAGACGATGCCTGTCCATCACCTCTACTGTCATCATCTTCCCACGGTAACTCACTCTCTTCCTCATTCCTGTCTCGTTCCATCTCTCTTTGTCTCCTCCATGTCTCTTTCGCTATATATATATTTGTCTCTGTCTTCCATGATTTTCGATCTCTCTCTGTCTCTCGCTCTCTCACTCTATCTCTTCCCTGTCTCACTCTACCTACTCCCTGTCTCTCTCACTCTCGTAAAAAAAGTAATCACAATGTGTTCTACAACCGTATGACTTTTGTTTTTAACTGAATGAACATGCAGAACAGAACTGGAGCCTAAGTATAACAATGTTCTGCTTCCCAGACCATTTGTGTTCTTAAAGAAGCACCGGAAACAAACACGACCACAAGAACCTCAGTGTCTCGTGGTCGTGTTCAGACTTAAACTGGAGCCTCGAGTTTACAAGTGGTGAAGACTCGATGATGTGTTCCGTACGTTTATCTTATCATTAACAAAACTCGTTGCTATTTAGTTTCTAAACATAACTTCCAATTTGATGGATATGATTAGTCAATTTTATCGATTCGCTGATAAAAGGTGGTTAACTAATTGGTAAATAACAGTTAAACCCCATGTAACATAGGTCTTTCAGGAAGTCTGAAGTGTTATGCACCAGGAGGTAAGACTTTAAGACTGTTTTATTAGTTGAGGATTAGCGAGCAGATGTAGTACTGACGGCCTGTGTCATGGCGGACACTCATAATTAATCCAGTGAGTATAGTGGACTTTTTGTGTACAGTGAAAGAGAGGAAGAGAAAGTGTAAGTTGTGAGGGCGGACGGGCGGCGAGGCTGGTCGTGTATGCTGCCATTGACGGGGGTGAAGAGGGCCGCCCACATGTGTCGTGGGAGGGAGGTAGGGACACATGGCCCGCCGCTGATGAAACCCAAGCTACTTTTCTCTCTCGCCCCCTGGCCGGCCTCCCACCAGCCACGCGGTAACCTCCAACACGGTTCCTTGAGCTTCATTGCTCGCCTCTCTTAGCGCGACTCCTGTCCTCCACCTCCTGTGACCGTTGCTACAGCAGGGGAAAGAAAGACCACTTCCAAGAAGGGTATTGTGGGGACTCTTGTAGCACACACAACCGCGCTAACGTCTCTTTGTCTTAATCAAACGAGTCTCTGGCGATGCCTTGCCGAAATACTCTAGTAGCCTCTATATATTACCGGAAGGTTAATATGTAATTAGAGATGAAAAAAAGAGTGTTTGGGCAGTTGGGTAAGCTGGCGGAGGCCTTCGGGAGTCGTATTTGGCGCGGCGTGGGCGTGGGCGTGGCCTGGCCCGTGAGAACCAACCAGCGGCCGCCTCCCTCCCGCCCGCGCACTAAATAACTGACGATCGAACTTGCTCTTTGTGAATTGACAGGGGACGCACAGATTTTATCACTCGTGGAAAGTGGTCTATTTTAGTGATCTTGGCGCAATTACGTCTGTTTTAACTGTGAGTATGTGAACGTTGATTGTTGTGTCTGTTATTTAGTACAAGATGTGTTGAAGTTTGTTTAGTAGCAAGTGTGAAAAGTATCAATAATAGAAAGGAAAGGCGACGCGCGCTGGGCTCAGCCTCTCCGGTCCGCCTTGCTGGGTGATTGTAGCAGTATTTGTTTGGTGTGATTGAAGTAGGACGTTGGGAGGGACGCAAGCCAGCGAGCCAGCCAGCCCCAGCTTCACTCTTTTCAAAGCTTGAGTCCTCCTCCTCCCCCTCTCCTTCCCTCCCCCCCTCCTGGCCATGTGACCGGGCCGCGCGCGCGAGAATTTTACGCGTTTTCGTTTGGAGTTTAGAATTGTAATTGATTTATGGTCGCGTGATGATTGATGGGCTGTATGATTATGAGACACCTAGACGGTCATCACCGTTGTCTTTTGGGGGTAATTAGCATCATAATTCTCCTCATCAGTCAGAGGTAAGTACACCAGCAGAGGGGAAAACAAACTTGGTAAGTACAAATCACGAAACCAATGGAGGAAACATTTCCACGATTGCGGATAATACTGGTCGGGGTGGCAGGCAGGCAAGAGAGGCGGCAGCAGGGGCCCTACTCCCCGGCTTAGACCGCCCGGCCGCCTGCCTTCACCACCACCACCACCATCATCAGCAGTCGCAGGCTTGGTCGCCACCGTTGCACACCGCCTAGGCCCCACACCACCACACACAAGGCTTGGCGCGGGGCTGTGATCTAGCGACGCGGTGTTCTCGCGTTGTTCTCTCGCTGGATTGTAAGTGTGATTTTATACATATCTATCAAATGCAGTGTTGCGTTTAGTGAGTGTGTGTGTGTGTGTAGCGTGTACTGCCCCCTGGTATTGATTAGTTACGAGATGAGGTGAGCGGCGCTACGCTTGGACAGTGACAGTGACCATCAGGGTTAGTGGAAGGGGGATGCGGTAAGGCGAGGAGGGGGGGGGGGGTAAGGAGGGTCGCTGGGGAGGGTGGGGGGGAGGCCGAGGGACAAAGGGCTGTAGGTGGTGGAGGAGGAGGGGGGGGGGAGGATGTTAAGGGGCCAGATGGAAGAGAGGGGGGAAGGTAGGGGGTGGCAGAAGCAGGGGTGATGGTGGTGGCTAATGGGGGGGTTAGAGGGATCACGTCTTGACCCCCACCCCTCCCCCCCCAATATGGCCCACCCACCCACCTACCTCCCCCGCACCGTTTCCGGCCTGCACTCGTACGGTGTCTGGACAAGCGGGTCTTGTTGTCCCTGCTGGCTGGCCTGCTGTCCTCGACCACCACTCCCACGCCACGCATGGTCGCCGCTCCCTACGTACAGTCTTCGTCTTAACCAGTGACTCTCCTGACGCCTCCTCCTCAGTACTCCTCAACAGGCACTGTGTCATCCTCGCCTCCTTTGACGGTAAACTTTCCCAGTGTGTGTGTCATCGCTAGCTGCAAGCCTTGGTGAACCACTGTCATGATGTATAATTATGGCTAACTTAAACGAGAACCTTGTAGAAAGTCTAAAGACTTTATAATTTCGAGACGAGACATTGTGCTCGTCCAGTACAGTCAATTAAGGACCAGTGTCAGATTTCAGGAAATCAATGACCCACTTCATGTCGCCAACGACTGCTAGATGAGTCATATTGACGAAAAAAATGTGAGGCTATTGCGAAAGTGTGTCGGGGGTGGGTGAGTGAGCCACGTGTTGTACTCTTGTTGTGGGTGTAGCGACGACAACAACGTGTTACCCAAGGTGTTGCAAGTTATGGAGGAAACAGCGCGCAGCAGCGCGCGGCCAGCTGCTGTACGAGGCTGGCCCGTTGGATTAGGATTTCTGCTACGTCCTGCCACTGCAGGAGGCGGCGGTGGTGGTGGTGGTGCCGCTTGCGACAGTGTAGGTGAAGGGCATCGGTCCCCAAGTGGTGGTCGGAGCAGAGTCTTGGGATTGTATAGTAGGGGGGATGTGGGTGGGGGACATTGATATCCCCGTCGGCAGCGCGGCGCCCCTCAGACTGACTCTCACAAGTCTTGTGCTATGCCTCAGAAAAATTGTCGGAGGATGTTAGCTCGCGCCATGACTAGGTAATGTGGATTTCCAAGTTTACATCTCCGATAAACTTGGACGGAAATCGCCATCATATTTTAGCCTTTTTCCAAGATACCGGATACGTGGACGCAAAACATGGCCACCGCTCCCTCCCAGACTGTTGCTCTTCACACTAGTTTACGACTGTTTAAATTTATCCCGCTTACAAGAAAGAAAATATTTATTTTTGGTTTGCGAAAACACCTCTGACAATTTTTGTTCTATTTCAAAACATTAAAATTCTCACGGCTTAGGATATGAGTCGGAACCTCCACATTTCTGATTTTTTGGTCTCATCATGATAAGAATCTGGTGACTGCAGTCGCTAGTGTGGGAGGAAGGGAAGAATTATTCTGGACTTCCCTGGAGGTAGCCTAATATTGGACAGCGTTGATGGTATTATAGATGGAGTTATCTTGTGTGATTGTGTACTGAGAGAACCAGGGCGCGCGCTCTCATAATCTGATGATGCCAATTCTTTGACCTTTTTCAATTGGAGTTTAATTATTTTAGTAATTTGAAGGCCGGTCTGAGGGAGATGTTATCGTCAGCGCTGGTCTAAGTACTGTAATGTTATCGTCAGCGCTGGTCCAAGTAATGTTATCTCTCAGCGCTGGTCCAAGTAATTTTATCTATCAGCGCTGGTCCAAGTAATGTTATCCTCAGCGCTGGTCCAAGTAATGTTATCCCTCAGCGCTGGTTCAAGTAATGTTATCCTCAGCGCTGGTCCAAGTAATGTTATCCTCAGCGCTGGTCCAAGTAATGTTATCCTCAGCGCTGGTCCAAGTAATGTTATCCTCAGCGCTGGCCCAAGTAATGTTATCCTCAGCGCTGGCCCAAGTAATGTTATCCTCAGCGCTGGTCCAAGTACTGTAATGTTATCCTCAGCGCTGGCCCAAGTAATGTTATCCTCAGCGCTGGTCCAAGTAATGTTATCCTCAGCGCTGGCCCAAGTAATGTTATCCCTCAGCGCTGGTCCAAGTAATGTTATCCTCAGCGCTGGTCCAAGTAATGTTATCCTCAGCGCTGGTTCAAGTAATGTTATCCTCAGCGCTAGTCCAAGTAATGTTATCCTCAGCGCTAGTCCAAGTAATGTTATCCTCAGTGCTGGTCAAAGTAATGTTATCCTCAGTGCTGGTCAAAGTAATGTTATCCTCAGTGCTGGTCAAAATAATGTTATCCCTCAGCATTGGTCCAAGTAATGTTATCCTCAGCGCTGGTCCAAGTAATGTTATCCCTCAGCGCTGGCCCAAGTAATGTTATCCTCAGCGCTGGTCCAAGTAATGTTATCCCTCAGCGCTGGCCCAAGTAATGTTATCCTCAGCATTGGTCAAAATGAACACAGCATATATCTTAGCATATATGCTGTGCTTAGCACAGCATATATCTCTCATTTCTTGACAGGCTAACCTAACCTAAGACAGCTTAATCTAACGCGATATTATATATATATATATATATATATATATATATATATATATATATATATATATATATATATATATATATATATATATATATATATATATATATATATGTCGTACCTAGTAGCCAGAACGCACTTCTCAGCCTACTATGCAAGGCCCGATTTGCCTAATAAGCCAAGTTTTCATGAATTAGTTGTTTTTCGACTACCTAACCTAACCTAACCTAACTTTTTCGGCTGCCTAACCGAACCTAACCTATGAAGATAGGTTAGGTTAGGTTAGGTAGGGTTGGTTAGGTTCGGTCATATATCAATGTTAATTTTAACTCCAATAAAAAAAATTGACCTCATACATAATGAAATGGGTAGCTTTATCATTTCATAAGAAAAAATTTAGAGAAAATATATTAATTTAGGAAAACTTGGCTTATTAGGCAAATCGGGCCTTGCATAGTAGGCTGAGAAGTGCTTTCTGGCTACTAGGTACGACATATATATATATATATATATATATATATATATATATATATATATATATATATATATATATATTTATATTTATTTTACAAGCGGAAAACTACCTTTGTCAAACCGCCTGTGGACGATTTGACTTTCGTACTTTTATATATATTACATATATAATTGTATATATATAATCAAGTTTTCCGTTTATTTGTTAATGTTCTCGTATATTTGTGTATTATTATTTCCTTTTTACTGTTTGCGTGCTAACTGACCCTGGTAATGGTTTCTAGTGGATAACAAAACAGTACAATTGTGCAGTCTATTTAAAGCGTAATGTAAGTTTATATATTTTCATACGTAGCCTAATGCTATATAAGCGTCCATACTTTAAAGTGTGGCCGCTTAATGCTATGTATTAACAGCTTTAGTCTTTGCGTGCTTCACTGAGTCAAGTGTCTTAGTAAGCCAGCCATTTCTCCGACGTGAACCCGAATATATAATTTAACCCTTATAGTTTTACCTTCTGTGCCAGCTCTGAATTCCCAAAGTATATTTGATATTTATGAGCATAATATTGTTTGTTTTCATGGCTAGTTCCCAATTTCCACGCACTCCTCAACTAAATAAACCTGGTTCGTAACCTATAAAACCCAACTTCTCTGGAAAAACTAAATTATGTCTGGTAGGAGGTCACAGCTGGGCAAAATGACATGGTTTTAACAATGAATCAACGTTGATAATACTGATCCTAGGTTGATTTAGCGTTACGAGAGCGTATAGAGTGTATGTTGACTTAAACTTAGGAGTTGAAAACAGGGCGAAGCGCCTTCTTATACTGTATCGTGACCCAAAGCCCTAAACAATTGCTGGAGGGTAAGGTTACATTGTTGATTTTCCTAGGAAATGTTGATTTTCATAAGTAATGTTGATTTTCCTAGGTGGTGATGATTTTAATATGTTGATTTTCCAAGTAATGTTGATTTTCATAAGTAATGATGATTTTAATATGACGATTTTCCTAGGAAATGTTGATTTTCCTAGATGATGATGACTTTAATATGTTGATTTTCCTAGGTAATGTTGATTTAATGTTGACATTTCTAGGTAATCAGGTAATGTTGATTTTTTCTATATAAAGATGATCTTAAGTAATTTTGATTTTCCTAAGTTATACTGATTTCCCTAGGCAATGTTGATTTTTTCTCGTACATTTGGATAGTTTACAGTATTTTATTACGTGCCTACCTAACCGGTTTACAGCTTACATTCATGTAATTCGCTGGACCAAAGATGCTGGTTTACAACGATGGATCTACCATGTTTGGCAACAGTGTAGACGAATGGATTAAATCACCAGCTAAAGTTATTGAGGATAATAATGTAACATGATTTAAAGATTGTATAGACCGCTGGGGTCAAATTGTCGGGTCTAAATAGGACCTGCCACGAATGGGTCAGTAGGCTACTGCAGCGTTTCGTATGACTTATGCTTTATATATAGTCTTGGGAAACTAGAAGCTGGTGTATGTTGTTGTTAAAGATTCGCTACCTGGAACAAAGTTCCAAGTAGCACGGGCTATGGTGAGCCCGTAACTTGATAGCTGGTGTACATTTTGCAGGTACTTTAGTACATGTTAAGGGTAGGGGGAGCAATCGGGAGAGGACAATGTGTGTGTACTCTCCTAGTTGTTCTTGCGGGGGTTGAGCTCTGGCTCTTTTAATATGCTAATAATCTTACGATATTTATCCGAGCCTCTGGTGCTAGGCTAGAGGCTATCTGTAAGTCTCAGACTCTATTGCTGTTTCAAAGAGTAGCGTCTTTTAATTTCATACTGTTCTTAAGTTTTATTGCTCCCTCAGCAATTCTCATCATCTTGCATTTCTCTGGGTTGACGTCAAGTAGCCATTTTCCTAGCTATCCTTGACTTTCCCAGGTCGTCCTGCGTCTTTTCACAATCCTTGTACGCTACGACGCATTAACTTGACTCGTCCTTTGCAGGCATTCCTTGAATCCCTTTCTATGTCTCACCGATTGTAATTACTAATGATTGTGAGTTTTATTTGTGACGTTTGGTCAACAAACCTGACGTATCATACTTATCATAATCTGCATCATACTTCTGGCTGGGACTTCATTTCACACTGCATTACTCTCTTACAGTGTGTGTGTGTGTGTGTGTGTGTGTTTACTAGTTGTGTTTATTAGTTGTGTTTATTAGTTATGTTTTTGCGGGGGTTGAGCTTTGCTCTTTCGGCCCGCCTCTCAACTGTCAATCAACTGTTTACTAACTACTTTTTTTTTTCTTTTTTTTTCCCCACACCACACACACACCCCAGGAAGCAGCCCGTGACAGCTGACTAACTCCCAGGTACCTATTTACTGCTAGGTAACAGGGGCACTTAGGGTGAAAGAAACTTTGCCCATTTGTTTCTGCCTCGTGCGGGAATCGAACCCGCGCCACAGAATTACGAGTCCTGCGCGCTATCCACCAGGCTACGAGGCCCCTATGATGTGTGTGTGTGTGTGTGTGTGTGTGTGTGTGTGTGTGTGAGGTGATCTGCTGGAAGTGTAGGTATACGGTAGACAAGGAATGTGAGAGGAAAGGGTTGTTATGGAGGTAACGCTGAGAGGTCCATCAAGATTATCGTGTGTGTCAGTGGATGAAGTGGTGATGGTTGAGGACCTAGTTAATTTTCCTGGACGGTGAAGAGGAAACTAGATTGTTTCCTTCAAGGAGTGCCGGACCAACCGGGCTGTGGTGGGTATGTGGGCCTGCGGGCCGCTCCAAGCCTGGTGGACCAAACTCTCACAAGTCAAGCCTGGCCTCGGGCCGGGCTTGGAGTAGAACTCCCAGAACCCCATCAACCAGGTGAGGGACAACTATGAGGTGCGGGCTAATGGTGACGTTAGCAATCT